TGGCTGGATGGGTAAGGGTGTTCCCACTCTACAAGGACAGCAATAAGCCAAGGCTCACTGTCAGGGTTTGAAGGATCACCCTGTCCCTAGGCAATGGCCTGTGTCCTCCAGTGAGGGACCAGGAGCACTGCAGCTGCATTTCTCTTCCAGTCCCTCCTGCTAGCAGGGGCTGTCTTACTGCCCAGAAGGTCCACAGGTTAGCCACCTGAGTAAACTCTGAGAGAAATGGAAATGATAAGCCAAAGCTCAGACCTGGAAAATGAGATCCATGACTGCCTGAGCCAGCTGGCAAGAAAAAGGTTCTCTGAGACTGAGTGGGACATTGCCGCCTTTGCCATGTTCTTCATCTTTGTGGGTGAGTGCACAGCTCAGCACAAGGCACATGCCAGACAGCTTTTCTCAGCAATAGGCCTGGGAGACACCTGCCCTAATCCCAGCAACTCATGCAGCCCCCCAGCAGCACAGCCCTGGATGAAGAGTGGCAGAGCGCGACTGCTCCATTTACATTCAGCAGACAAGGGCTGCAACAGATACAAGGGCCCAGATGAAACATTCCTTGTGTAACCTCCCCTGGTTTCATAGCCATGCCACCACGTGTCCAATGCTAGCAGTTTGACCAGCCTGGGCTCAGATAGTGTTTGTGGGGTTGCTGTGCCCTGTGTGATGCACAGCACTTCACGCAAAATGCTGCAGGGCTGAAAGAGGGGAAAGGGGAGCAGATACCCAAGAGGGTACTTGCTGAAATGGGGGGTGTCATCAGGGAGACATGCTGACACTGATGTAACTGCTCACTTTTCCACAGGGACTGTGCTGCTGCTGTGATTGTGACTCCCCAAAACAACTCAAGGTGACAAGACCCAGCCCACTCACCCAAGAATGACCCAGGACACACAGGAGCTCCCAAGGCTGAAGCCCACCCTCCAGTATCTGTGTTGCTTGTCAAAATGGGGGAACAGCACTGCACAGACTGCTCTCCCCTGCAGAGACACTCTCATGTCTCAGGAGAAACCCAGCCCAGCCACCAAGGGGGGACATTCACACAGGGAAGGTGATGGGGAAGAGAGAACAGGCTGGGTGTGCTTGAGCAGGGAGAAAGCACAGACACTGTGTGTTCACACACTCACACACGTGCAAACTCCCATCCCCTCCTCTTTACAATGACATATCGTTTTCCAAGATTCCCAGCAGAAAGTGGGCATAGACCACCTAGCAATGGAGCCCTAAACCCATCTCCACCTCATGGCTGGACAGAACAACTCTTCCTGCTTCTTCCCTCTGCTGTACCTACAAATCAGATTCAACCTTCACCTCGAGTGCCAAGCGCTGCCCAGCCATTTCCATCCTCCTCTACAACCTCAGCCACAGCCTCTCATTATCTGCACATGGATGAATGTGAACCCCCTGCATGGTACCTGCAATGCCATCATAGGCCAATATACCCACTGGAATCAGTCCACCCCACAATCCCCGCTAGATACAGCGCCTTAATGCAGACTTTTCAGCTACAAGCCACAGACCATCCTCAGCTACTGCAGCCAAAGTGGAGAACACGTGCTGCCCTATGCAGAGCCAGCAACCAGGGGAACTGCCCGGGAGTGAGGGCAAGGAGAGAGCAGGAGAAGCTTCTTCCAAGCTCACGCTTGCTGATCACCAAAACATCCTGTGGAACATCCTCACGCTAAAATCCCTTCTGGGATGACCAAATGGGAGGCCCAGCTATACTTCTTTTCAGGGTTTTGGGTTCCAGCTCTTCCATTACAAGATTAATTTCCAACAGGGCTGAACGCAAAGCATAGCACTGTCCCTGACCATTAAAAGAGACAGCACAAGGCTCTGAAGATGCTTCAAAGTACAGTCACAGCTTCTGGGAACCCTTTTAGTCCCTGTAGAGACATTTTGGACCATGTGATATAGCTTCCTTTATGTGCTGCATCAACTTTAGAAACAGTTTACCTCACTCTTCCCTGGGGACACAAAAGCTTGTGAAGCTGAAACTGCTCTGTGCAAGGGAGCAGTGGCTCACTCCTCCCTATGGCCTTGCAGAAGATGCTTGGGGTACCAAAGAGAAAGCACATTCTTCATCCTGAAGCCTATCAGTGCCTCCAATTTGAACAGCATCACCCACTTACCTAGCATCTGTACAGTCCCAGGTGGAGCCATGTTTTCAACTGGTACAGTCTCTCTGCTTTAGGCTGACACTGTGTCCCCATAGGTGATCCCACAATGGGACAGGGTGACCCTTTTTATTGGGGCACATATAAAACAAGAGAAGTCTGGTTCTGTTGTGACAACAATGACTCCAGAAGGTGGCACCCTGAAAGGCAACCAAGCACCTACCCATGCATAGAGTGGTGGTACAAGACCTGCAATGTTTCCACCATATCTGGAAGGCAGGATGTGGCCAGGGATATTAGGTGCAATTCCAAGCAAGTCCTGGCAGTGGCAACACTTGAGCACACTGGCATCAGCACACACAAATAACTGCAGTTTCAACTCCAACTCCAGGAAAAAATGACTGTATCTTTACACTTAGTCTTAGCACAGTTCAGCAGAGAGACCTTCTTGTCTGCTCAGTGCTGAGATGCTGGGAAGAAGCATGGGATTCTGTTCGCTGTCTGTCACTGCTCTGTGGACAATACCAAATAGATGCTCAGATTGAGAGACTAGAGGCAGCCATAAAATAATCTTTCTTCATTACTCTCCTAGTCTGTGGTCCTGCTCTGTCATTAGCCTGCTGCAGTGCTGTAGTTGAAAACTGCCTATCAAGTGTCTTCTCTATCTTAGTTCAGGCAACACTAATTCCTTTTCAAAGGTCATGTAGAAGCTCAGCAGTAGAGGCTGATGGGTCAAGTGTCTTTTGTGGTTCCAATACCAGCAGCATCCAGGCAGCTGTAGTTCAACTGCTAGATGCATCAAAAGCATGCATGCAGTGGGTCTAAGCAGCAGACTTCTATCCCCTGAAGACTAAGGAGAGATTCCCTGGGCAAAAGGGAAAAAAGAAAGGTGCCACCAGGAAATGTTTTGCTCATGAGAACTATAGCTTCCCCAGAGGAAGCTAAAAAAATCGTAAAATCCCAGCCCAGGAAAAGTCAGACAATCTGATTATTTCATTTTGCTCAAGGCACACAGCAGCATTCATCAGTGCATGTACCAATGAAAAGCCCTTGCAGCACTGCAGAGCAGCCCAAACTTCACACACACCTTGTACTGCCAAGCACTTGCCAAAGACTGTGGCCCACAGCACGTTTGAGTTGCATTTACAAAGGGAGGGGTGGGCTGCCAGCAGCTATCCCAGTACCAACCTCACCAGGCTGCAAAAGCCCTCAGGGCTTTGTAAATTTTCTTCTGCGCTCAGTTTAGTGGGGAAGAGAGATAGACTGTTAAGTCTTTTAGTTGGTGGACTCTTGTTTTATCTTTCAAATCACTGGGTAGGGTACCAGCTCAGGGTCAGCCTCTCCTGCTGAATCCCACCTAGCTTGCTGTTACCCTGTTCCATACTAGTAACCCAGGCAGGGTCCTGTAGCAGCTACCACTGCCACCTAGCAGCCCTCAGACACAGCCACTGCACATCAGAGCTGGAAGCAGGACAGGTGTTCCCCAAGTGAAGACTGTTTTCATCAAAAGAAAACAACACACACTGGGTTGCACGTTATATCCCTATCAGCAGGAACCTGATGGAGAGGATGTGGCAACGATTGGACTGCACACACTAGTGTGAATTAAAACAGGAGCCTTCTCAACACACAGGGAGGGTTAAAGAAGAGCACAGACGGCTCTAAAGAGGGTATCAACTATAAAAATACTCTCATCCAAGAAGCTGTTAATAGTGAGTATTTCCACACATGTACAATCACTTCCTGAGCAGAGAATGGTCTGGAACAGAGCAAGGGTTAGTAAATGTATACCCCGGGTCATGACCACAGATAGTCATAAGGCTAATTGACCAGAATCAGTAATGAGTCTGCTATTACATCAGCCCATCCAGGCCTCGCTACCTTCTGCATTTCATTACTTACTAAGACATTCATCAGTCACAGCCTGATACTCATTTGTAGGCTCTGTTACTGCCTGCAACCTGTAATACTAGCATGCGTTAGACTGAACACAGCACCAAGTGTCAAGTCCTCAAAGAAGGCTGCAGCAATCACAAAGCTGGCACTAACCCACTCAGGATCTGAGGGATCTCACAAAAGGACAGAAAGAGAGGTCACAGACAGGGCAGGCCACACATGCCCAGAGCAGTGGTCTATGCAGAAAGAAAAAAAAAAAAAAAAAAAAAAATCGAA